TTATAACTTTTGTTCTAAGCATCTATTTGTAACAAATAATATATACAAGGTGAATAAAAAGCATGGAATCAAGCATTTTTTTAATTATTTGCTTTCAAGAAATAAGATTTAATAAAAATTAAAGTGCTACAAAACTTGTTATAGTGATTTAAGAATAAAATTTTGTTTAAATTGTATGCGATTTTTTTTACCAAATGGCAAACTAATGTAAAAAAAATAATAAAAAATTAAATGTAAGTAGATGGTTGTAATCCTCAGATCACAGCCTTTGTAAATAATGTTTTATACAGAGTGTTTACGGTCTTGGAATTATAAACTTACCAAGGTTATAAAAAAGTGCAGAAATAGTGTAACAGAGCGTTTTCTTCTACCATGCATATCATCTTCTTTAAATTTCAACCTTAGGATTAGAAACATCCTGCAGTGAGTTGCAAAAATAAAAAGTTTACAGAATTCAAAAACAGAAAAAAATTCGAAAATTTTAATAGCTGTAAACTCATTTTTATGTACCTATATTTTCATTCATTAATTATTTTTTTCAAGAAACATAGTTTAAGTAAAAAACCCTGTATATCACCGTAAGTGACCGGAATAAGGTAATTATCAACACCGGAAGCACCGGTGAATGTTGATAATTACCTGATTTTGGTCATTCACAGTAACATATACCTATGTACATTAAAAAAACTTATTACTATTAGGAACTGAGAGAACTAAGTTTCAAATCGTAAAAAATTATCTGATAAAAATCCTTTTTAAAATCACATTTATTGGTATACTTAGCTATTATATAATTTTGTTACATACATAAAAAAATAAATTTACCATTTTATCACAATTGCTTTATAATTTTTTAAGATGCGTGAATATCTGCATTGTTCATTTACAGTGAATGCACCATGCACCCCAGAAACAAAAAATACAATAAAATCCGGATAAAACACTTAGTTTTATTTTGTTTTACATTTATTATGTAATATTTGTAGTTTGTAGTAATGGCTTTTGGAAAATATTATTATTTGGGCTGTTACAACAAATAAAATATTTAAATATTTATGCATGCATGTACATGTTGTTTATATTATTCCATTTCATAAAACGGTATTTGATGTTGAATGTGAAGATTTAGATGCCAGTAAATAGCACTTTTATTAAACAATAAAATAAATAACGGTAGTAACTAACTGATATAAAAACAAGTTTTGAATAGAAATAAATTATGTAATAAAATCAGTTAAATTAGGGCAAACTTCCGCATTTTTATGCTGAACAATAATCTGAAAGAAAATTTAATGTGTCATTTTTAGTTTTTGATATTGGAAAAAAAACGGAAATTTGTAATTTTCGTTTTTATTTTTCCAATCGAAAACTAAAAGACCTAGAGCTAGGATATTTTTTTTATTGAATAAAATGTGAAAATTTTAATTATTAAGATTTTTGACAACGGTATACCGTATTGAATTAAAAAAAAACATTTTATAGGTAATTTAAAAATAGAGTGCCCTGATATAATGCGAATTTGAAAACTGTTCTTGATTCTTTGATATAAAGCAAAAATTAAATTGCAAGTAGGCAACCAATAATACACAATCATTTCATAAGCTCCGGTACCTGCTGTAAGATATACGACCGCACCCCAGGGTGTAACCCACAACATGATCGTTTTATTGCGTTTGTACAAAGCAAAGATATGCATCTGCACCCCTCAAGAAGAGAATTGTTAGTACATTCCAAAACTTCATTTTTTTAATTATTCCTCTATTTAAAAATAAATTAAAATAATAGATAGGTTTAATATAAAGGCACTAAGCCCAATACGTAAACCTAAAAAATAACAAATTAAAATATAATATTTATATTAATTTCACTGAGGACGGTTTTTGCTTAGGAATTATTATATGGGTTGGTCTTTACGGACAGCTCTAATTAGCCAAACTAATTTTGTGTTAAAAATGATTCTAGGTATTTGTGGTGAGACACATATTATGTTTATCGTTATTGTGTTATGTGTATTACAAAAAGTTAACATAAATGGTCATTTAATTTTAACAATAGTATTTGAACCGACTAATCCATTTGGTGTTGCACCTAAAAATGTTTTTTCTTCATCAACAAAAAAGCCGCATGAGTCCACCTTGAAACCTGTGATTTGCTCAAACTTTTCCTTTGCTTTTACTTCATTATCAATACCCCATGGTAGAGGTTCAGGCAATTTTTGAAATTTAGACACACCTACACTATATAAGATATTTTTTACAGTATTTGCTGTATTGGTTTTACATTTCATATTTATAATTCTTCCAAAATTACTAGCTGTTAATCTGTTATTTCTTTCTTTATCCCACTTCTCATTATTACGTTAACCAATTGTTTCAATAGGGATTTTTAAAATATCGCAAGCAGCCAAATCATTCAAAAACTCACTTTTTATTTTTTCATATGTTTCCATTAGCATATCTATTATGTCATCAGTCGCACCATAATCGGAATCTGCATACGAATTTTTCTGAATACGAATCTGAATTTCTGAATTCGAATTTTTCTTTTATTTAATTTCGCAGCTTGGGTTTCTGTGAAATTATTATCGACATCGTACAGAAGACTTGAAGATAAATTTGCACCTCTTTTTAATGCCTGCATGAACAACTCAAACAAAGAACTATTTAATAAATCAGAATATGCAACTGCATTTTTTATTTGACAAACTGTTTTACAGAAATACGAAGCGCAATTTGAATGATCACCAAAAATATGTGCGAGTCCAATTAAAATATCAGTTTTCTGTTTTTTGATGAATTGTACAGCTTTTGTTTTTTCTGTATTTTATAGCTGAAACAATTGCTGTTCTAAATTTCAAGTAATTGTTGCGCAAGAATGTTTTTATATTTATGTTGGATCGGGGAGTTTTAGCGATTTCTTTAATTTTGGTACAAAAAAGTAGTATAGTAGTAAAGAGTAGTATGTGATATCGGCATTCAATTTTTTGAATGAAATAATTAGGGTCTCTCATTACGAATTTTTTTGTAGACATGCATTTTGCATTTCCAGTTGTGGAATGTTCAAAGCTGCGCAAAATTCTGTTAGTTGAGAATAACCAGCACCTATTGCTACTGTGCCACAAACAACTGCTTCATTTACTTCATTTGTGTGATTTTCTTTTTCGGTACTAAAAGTTCCTATTGCCCCTCACATACTACATTTGTATTTAAAAACACTTTTAAACCACAAATGTGTTTCTAGAATGATGTTAATGTTCAAAAAACTACAAGAAAAAATGTTATGTTTTATGTTTTTTAATTCCAAGAATAAATGCCCTATGTCAACAATCCTTCGATCACTTGGAACAAAATTTTGTTCTTGACTTGATTTTGCTCGTTTCAGGTGAAGCGAAAAATGTTTCTCCTTTGCAGTTTTGGCGTAAAATAAAAGATACATTTTTTTTTTAATTTATTAATAAATAATGATAGTTTTTGTTAAAAATGACTTTGTTTTTAAAGCTATTTCTTTGAGTTGCTATTTATCAAAATTATGTTTTTCAACACTTTTATTTATTTAACTTGCGAAAACTCATTTGTCAAAGTGACATTATTGTCAAAAAATTATTAAGTCCAAAATCAAGAGAAAAATGAACTTTTCTTTCTACTGAGCTAGAATCTGAATCTCTGAAATAAGAAAAACTCATGGATTGTGAAATTCTGTTTGTTTACTTTATTTCCATTTTATGACTAAAGGGACCACGCACCAGGTAGAGGTCGGATGAGCTGCCACAGAATAAAAATCTAAATAGAGTATACAACTTACAGTACACCAAATCTGAACAGTTCATTCGGTACCCTAGAGCCTTAATATCAGAGTTACAACACTCAACTTTGGATTATCTGATGGACACCATATTTGATTTCTATATTTTTGAAGAAAAGTCTTTTTGTTCTTGATTACAACGATGTATCTATCACACACTATGATCAAATTTTACACGCTGATCAAAATTAAGAAAAAGCGTTTTTGCGAAGAGTGCTTTGGAAAAAAGTGCTTTGGAAAAAACAGTCAAATTGCTTTTTTATGTTTCATCAACTGAAATTTAGCTGAAATTATTGTCTTATCAATTCCTCATGAAAATCTAATACATTTTGCGCAATGATACCGTATTGAACAAAGTTAAAAGGCGAATACCTTGTAGGGAATAATTTATAAACCTGTTCTGTATATTTTTACTTGCTCCAAGGAGTACCCCTTACAATGCACTGAACTCGGAATGCCTTATTAATTTTGAGAGACTGTGTATATAAAAATTTTATTTTTCTAAATAATTTACAGTATGTCCCCGGATTGAGTTTACCAGAGGATTTTTTTAACTATGATTTTACGACAAAACTGCAACGGAAAAACATTTTTTGCTTCTCCTGAAACAAGAAAAGCTATAATTAAAAATTTATTATTCTGACGCAGTGGAAAGAAAAAATATTTTCCTGCGACTATATACGAAACTAGATCAGAACGCACAATTACATATGCGCGAAAATTGGCACTATCGTACGAGGTCGAAAACCCGTGCGATTTGTTTTCGCACTGTGTGTTAGAAATCTAACGCACGATAAAAAATACAAAGTCATTTTTAACAACAATCATCATTATTCAGTTAATTAATTAATTGTCAAAGTGACATCGTTGTCAAAAAAATAAAACCGCCAATGTTATAGGAGTGATAAAGCAGAGAAAAAGTCCAAAATCAAGAAAAAAATGAATTTTTCTTCCCAATGAATCAGAATAATGAAGTTATAATTACCTACAGATTTGCTCGTTTCAGATGACGCAAAAAATGTTTTTCCTTTACAGTTTTGGCGTAAAATCAGAGATATTTTATTGTTCCTCTTGTAAACTCAATTCGGGGACATACTGTAGGTATAATCTCTGATCTATTTTTATGTTCCTGCAACAATATTTAATATATTTTTTTATTTTCCGCAACATGTATATTTAAATTTCATGGTGTGTAACTAATGCTTGTAGTAGCCTCCATAGTTAATTAACGTACACATTTTTTGCTTCACCTAGCATTAAAAAAATAGTCTCGACAACCGTCCCAACCCATCTAACTGTACCCGGCACCTGCTTGATGTCCTCAACCTCAAAGACACAAGTCAGTACAGCGTATAAACTCGTCCAAGTTCGAGGTAAGAATGTAAGTGTCAAGCAGTTTCTTCCTTGCTTTTAATGGACTTTTTCCCGAAGGTTGCGACTAACGATTCTGATGCTGTGTTGTGCGGATTTGGCCTGGCCCAACGCAATACACAATTGTGAATGCTGGGACGGATATAAGGTCGAATATAACAAAAGTGGTTCCCAGTGTGTGGGAGTCAATTTATTTCACATAATGCCCTGCAATATGGCGAAGGCACCGAAATGTCAATGTTCCGGGATAGTAAGCAGCATCTTGAAAGATCGAACTGGCACTTGGTGCACGCGATATTCGAACGGTGTAGAGCTGACGAGGTGGCCTTGTGAGAATGCACAAGAATGGGAAGAGTTTTTCAAGAAATATCCTCATTTCATTTAATATTGTGCGAAGGAGGGGGTGTGCTATTTTACACATAAATATCCAATTTACAATCAACTTTTCTTGATTTAGAATTATATATTGTTAATTTATAATACCTATATAAAATTTTAAATAAAATTTTAAACAAAATATTAAACTGTGAGTTTAGTATTGGTGGCACCATTATATTTGATCATTTTATTGCATGGAATTTTTTTTAATAACACAACAGCACAATACATTATTTTCTTAACAGGATAGCCATACATACACACCGTATTTATGCGATAATCGCACTTGAATCATGAATAATAAATCTTGTTATTGTCACTTAAGCATTCAACCAAACAAACAATTATCTCTACAAAACATACACAACCCACAAAAACAAATTTATTATCTTTAGACTTACTCTCAGCTCAATATTTAAACAGTTTATTAACATTTTAATAACAAATTAACCTCTCTTTTTCAATACATGGGGTAAGTTCCATTATAGTTTAACAAGTATGTATGTACCTAAACGATCCAAGTTTTTAGGAAGTTGGTGTGCTTATGCTTGGTTGTTACAATACTGGCTGCCGTCCAGGCCAAATTAGTGACAGTAGAAAAAGTCTGCAAATGTTGGGAAGACTTCAAGCCTGAAAAACCAAATCTGGCAGCTACTATTGTAGAGGTGACAAGCATCATTGTATTTTTGGCTGCAACGAAAAGAAACCTCCGATCTGCAAATGTGTAGTCAATAGAAAAACGACTGAATTGGATTTGGGAGAAACGGATTGTTTCAGTGTGAACTTGAGAATTGTCGTTGGTGTGAAAATAAGGCTGATTTTAAAAAATATTTCAAAAAACATCCTGAACATAAAATAGTGCACGGCGACTAGAATATTAACAAAAAAATAACACTGCATCATGTAAAATTACGTAAAAAAATTGATTTATTAACCGAATCAAAAATATATTACTGAAATCAATTGTTTGTTACACAGCATACCTAACATATTTTTTTTACGTAGAGATATTATTAGATTGATTAGCATGTATTTGGTCATATGACATGAAAAACGAATCCAAAATATGTATGTCTTTTCTATTTCGGTGTGACAATAAACATTTTGTATAACTTAAAACAGTGTTGTCACAAAATGCAACTTTGTAACACTGTTATTGGCAACATTTTATACCATCACTGGCTGCATACTGTTATTTTTAAGTGAGAAATTATTGTAGATTAACGTGTTTCATCGAAACTAAAACAACTTGAGCTATTTTCAAGCGATTTGTATATATCACATACGTCAAATGTTATTATTAATTAATTAAAACTGCCAAAATTATAATAATAAATTTAATTTAAAAACTGCTTAATAGAAAAAAGTAATATAAACACGTGTTACAAATCTTTGGTTCGTGTCACAAACTAGGTAGGTACTGGTGTCACAATGAGAGTGTTTGTAACACTTGTTTTTTTAATATACTATTAAACATATCTACAATGTATTTTTTTTCGGAAAAACTCGTAAACGCTATTATTCTATTTTTTTCAAACAAATATTTTGTTATTTATAAAAATTGTGGTAAACGTTTCAAGGAAATGTAAAATATTTGTAAAGAATTAACTGTATGATATTTCATCAGGACGGCTCAAAAAGTTTCACTTATTTTTTTATCTCTTATCACTTATCACTTTAAAGTTTCATGTAATTTTATTTTTATAAATCTGTAGCCATTAGTGACATGATAATTGATATTCCACTTGTGACTTACGAGTAAATATCGGATGGAAAATTTTGCGTGTCTGACTCTTGACTCTTCCTTGGAATTATTACCACATAATTACATTTCAATTAGAAGTCCTAAATCCTGTTATTGTTGTCAAAACAGTTGTTCATGTAATCAAATATAGAAAATCTTACATAAAATACAATAAAATCCATTTAGGGTGATTGGTTGACTCACAGTGCTTCTATATTTTCTCAAGGTAAAATTAACAAGTTTTCTAATTTACACTTAACTCCTCCTTGTTTGTTTTTTCGTGATGTTTATAAAACAAGTCTCAAGAAGTTCTCCTTATTTCAAAGTGAGCATCATGTAAGTAGTTTTTTTTTATAGTTGTAACTCTGGTCCATTTTTTTTCTCTCAGGAAACTGATACCGCTGTTCATCTTTGCAACAATCTTTATCGCTACAAACAGCGAAGAGGTGAAAAACGAAAAAGACTGCAAGTGTTGGGAAGATTTCAAACCGGAAAAAGTTGAAAATGGTGACACTTATTATTGTAGAGGAGAGAAAAACCATCGAATTTTTGGCTGCAATGAAGATAAACCGCCAATTTGTCAATGTGAAAAAGATGGGAAAACAATAAGTTTGGATTTGGGTGAAACGGACTGTCTCAGCGTGGATCTTCAAAATGGACGTTGGTGTAAAAACAGAAAAGAGTTTGAGGAGTATTTCAAGAAACATCCTGAACGTGCAACTTATGATTAAAAATAAATATTTCTGTAACAATGTTGCAATAAAGTTGTATTAATATCAATCCAGAGTTTAGGGAGGTATCATTTGAGACGTTATCATCAATTTGTAGAGGTTTCGGTAACGCTTAAATAATTGGACAAGAGTTGGGAAAAATTAATTGGGCGGAAGTCGAGACAAATCGAGGGTGATGTGAAAATGGACGGAGAGTGAATTGGATTTTTTTTGTAACAACTTGTAGTTTAAAGCTGGTACACAATTTTTTCTTCTTTATTTTAATTTCATTTCTTCACAAAATGTGGAACTTCTAATTACGCTAATTAGTTTTCAAAAAATATCTAGAAAAAATAGAATTCAGTTAAATTGCTTTTTATCCTTGCAAACCGGCTTTAATCTTAAGCGCAATTTGGCACTTGAAACTGCCAAATTCTTTAAGCCCTAGCAAATTTTTACTATAAATGCTTCATTAAGCACAAACTGCTCAACTATTACTGTTAACTGCTTTCAATTAATCGCAACCAAGTCGCAACTAGTCCCAACTTCAAACTCAAATTACCAGTTTCAACTAGTTGGAATGTAATGAAATATCTCATTAATAATCTCCTATTTGTTATTGCAATTTGTAAATAGCAAATAGCAAAATTGTTGCTCTAACGATCTTTAAAATTCCCGGAACTATTGATTTATCAATAAATAAATGCAAAATTTATTAACACAATACCATTCAGCACAATGTGATTCATCGACAATTTACATAACAGGTATTAATAAACAATAACCAAGCGTTACAAAAAATTTCAGCATATCTTTTTAATACCATAAAGCATAATATGGCGGCGCACATAAAGGCGCAACGTATCGCATACGACATATGTATTTATTTCACAGTATTTTTGGAATAACTTTTTTTTTCCCGTTTTTTTAAATCATAATTATTTGAACACTAAATTGATGTTAGAAACATTAGTTTATACAGATTGGATTATAAAAAACGACCCAAGCCGTAATTTCATAACTTTTAAAGACTTCTTTCAACAAAATTGAACAGTTTTCTGTTATCAGTCGTTTGCTTGTCTTAGATAAAATGAATAAAAATGCTGTATTCTTTCCATAGCCTCCTTTATTTAATTTAATTTTCAAATTGCCTATAAACAAAAGTTAGTAATAAATAATAAATAGTGAACTTGATAGACAATTTAACGAAGAATCCAAAGCTAATAAAGTATACAGGGTGTTCCATTAAAAAAAAACTGAAATTGATTTCAGTTCCGGTGAAACAACATTAATTGATTCCAAATAATAGATGGCAATAGACTGTGCAACTTTGTTCTAAAAAGTATTGTCATATCTTTAAAAATAATGCAGTTATGGCTTCATAATCCAGCCTGAATATTAAATTTCCTTACCAATAGATGAAAAATTATTGTAATAATGGTATTTCGAGTGGTATTTAAACATGATCTGAAAGATTTAACAATACCCGACCAATAATTGGAGGGTTCAGAAGTTAATTAGTTTAAGTCAAATCATGTTGAGATAGAGATAGAGATGAGATAGTTAAATATTTTAAAATCTTTTGATTAAAAAAGCTTGCAAAGATGAAAAACAAAATCTTTATTTTATTGCAAAAAAATTGATAATACTTTAAAATAGTGCCATACGTGTATTGCCAAATGAAAAATTTAACAATACAGTGTTATCTTAACCACATCAATCATTTTAAGAAAAATTGTGACTTTTAGACTGATTGGCTTCTGAGTCCTCCAATTATACCACGGTTACCGTGTATCCAGGGTTTTTCGACTTTTTCCCTAAAAGGTAAAAAAAGCCAAAATGTACTACAAATCTTCGAAAAATTATTACTGTCACTTTTTTGTATTTTGTTTGCTTCAATTTTCAAGCAATAACATTCTAGACATGTTATAGAAAAAAGTTATAAGATACATTAACTTGAAATTCAGTTATGCGTGTTTATATCTACAAGTGCCAAATAACCTTTACACATCGACCAGATGGACTAAAACTATTTTCAATTTATATAAAATTCCTGTTTCATACCTATTAATAAGTTTTTGTCAACAGTAGTAAAAATCCTAATTTAACAATTCTGTACATGAGAAACTATGAACACTGTCAACCGCCTGCTGCTGCGTTTGTCAAATAAATCATAGCACGACTACAAGAAGTGGAGTGTTGTTGACCTGTAGAAAAACCAAGATGGTGTCATTCTTAGAGACGTCTAATTTACATGACAAACAAAAACAATTAAGACGTAAACTTCTCTCTCAACGCCTGTGTTGATTGTCGCACTTTTTATTATTCTTATTCGCAGAGGAACAAACTTTTCCTGGATCCAAAAAAAAAAAACGAAGATGTTCCATTAACTGCAAATTTACATAATGGAATTTTTTCCCGTCGTCGCACAATAAGAAAATCCATAAAAACTTTTCGCAAATCGAACCAACCAGACATGAAGATTAACAAAATCGCCACAGTTTTAGTACTTTTTTTTTATTAAAGTCAAGTTATGAAAACGCTCTCCTCAAACGTCGTTCGGTCTCGGCGGTCGTAAAGTCGAAACGGCCCACGTAAGTCTACTATAAAATAGGCTGCGATATATATGATATATCCCATTTCTGAGATTGACATTTCATACGTCAATTTATTTGCTGGTGCACGGGAGCTTTAGTGTCACTTTTTACGACTTGTTCTTCGTTTACGTTCAGGCGTATTTTCCCAAAAAAACGACGAGTAACATTAAGAACGTGCGAGTCTTGATTTAAAACACTACAATAAACGAACAAAAATTTTTGTCCGAGGAAAACAACAGAAAAATTCGAGGAGATTTTCACAGCCTTGCTTGCTTGGTCTCACCCTCTAGAAAAAAGCCTTTAAAAACGTCAAAAATTTATTATGGCCATTAGGCGTTATCTCCGACACAATCAGCGGAAGCTTCTTAGAGGAATTCTAGCACGCTATTAGCTCAATTTCGTCAAATGTCTATTACTTCTCTAGAAACATTTCTCCTCATAGTCTCTTTCAAATAATTATAATATACTCGTAAATAATACTGACCTCTCAGGTTTTTCTTTTTGTTTAAATAAGTTTTTTGTTTCAAAAGCGTTTAACTCTTGCCTTTTGAAAAATATTTACTTTAGTTGTTCATGTAAGAGTTTAAAAGTAGATCCAGATTTTTAAATATCACGATGAATCTAATCAATTATTTCTTACAATTTTGTTCACTTTACTTTAAATTTGAAAGAACACTTTGTGTTCTAACAATCTAAAATATCAAAAAATCTATTTCCACAACCTTAAAAGTTGCTCTGGGCGCAACAAAATCCGAGTTTCTTTGACCATTTCTGAGAAAGGACATCTCAAATTGCAAATAATTTCCTAGAGCGTTCGTGACAAATGTTCCTCGTCTTTTCCCACTCTCTGTATTTATGTAGAACGCTCGGGTGTCAGACTGGAACTATTAATATTCGAGTTGAATGATGGTCGACAATTCGTAACAAACGGATGCAGCTTCTGACATATTTTCAGTGGTTTTCGGTACAAACAAATGGACGGATTGTCTGACTTGGAGACCAACAACCGGAAATGCTGTAGATTCTGCTGATTTAGATCCCGCCATCGTTAGATCAGTGCAGCGGATCAAAACCGCTCGTTAAAATTTCTACAGTTTGCATTCCGCTAATTGCTACAATTCACTAATTGATTTTTGTTATGGGATGGGTCTATTTGCACAGCGTTTCAGGATTTTTCAATAATTAATGTATTGATTTCGACCTTTTAAAGAGATGATTTGGACGCATTCATGTTGTAATTGTGTTTACTCAGATTAATTAAATGAGAATCAAGAGTTAGGTGACTTTAGAATCTTTTTAAAAATTGAGGAAATGTTTTTTAGAAAAGGCATTGTAATAAAAGGTCTTTAAGCGTAGTGTCAGCTTAGTTGACCCCTAAAGACACTTGCGTATTTTTCCTCCATTTCTGAACCCTAATGCTGAAAAGATCTGAACCGGAATACCCGGTCAAGATTTACCGCTTGGACGGCCGCTGTAATGATAGAAGGGATTAGACCCTCTCTGGGAGCGCTAACGTTACCCTTAAGGCGTTTAGTGTGCCTGCATCTTATATTGAGATTTATGGCCGACGTTGGTCAGTTTAGTGATTCTAATGGAAATGTTGGAAGTGCGACCGCTAATTTCCACATGGGTTATTATAATTGAATTATGCGAATGCGCCGACGTTGCGTCCCAGTTTGTGTTTATCACGGCAACGTTTATGAAGATCTTGATGGATTAGGCAGTCTACAACTTCCTGAATATTCATGCAAGTTTGCGAAGTTTGTTATTTCGTTGATTATTTGTTGCAGCACTGACGACGCCTAAACGAGATTTCATCGATTAGTAAAATAGTCTCATTAAAACTTAGCGTTTACCGTTTTTAATCTTCTGCCATTCTCTCGTTTGAGAAAATAAGTAATTTGATGGTGTATGGTTTTATATAAAGCCAAACACAATATCACTTTTCGTAATGTTGGCAACAGGACATTTGGCATGGATAACCTCATAATAAAGATTGCATTTTTTCTCTAGATATTAAGGTGGTGTAGGAGGAACAACAAAGCTTACGAATAATAAAATGTAACATTAATAAACACTTGTCGGTAAAGCTACGATGTCTCGATGTACTTAATTCTCGACTTTCAGCAAAATGCATCATCGTTTTTACACAAGCAAATATTTAACATGACGTCAAATTTTGCTACAATTCAAAATCTTTTAAACAAACACCCTAAATGAAGAAAGCGAAAAATACATGTCCCAGCAAGCAATTAAGTTTACACAAATTTTGCGTATTTTCCTAATAAGCAATAATTTTTTTAGATGTGTTATTTCTTGAAAAGAAAAATAAATATTTGTAAATACCTTTGTAGCGATGTAACGCTAAATTGATTTCTCTAAAAAGCAAAGAAAAATAATATTAACATCCTTGATACAAATTTTTCATTTCAACAAATTCTTCCATTAAACATAAATATGAAATAAAATTTGT